AAATCTTAAGCTCAATAAGGATAAGTGCTCAGTGATGCTTTTTGATCCTGCTGTCAAACGTAACACTATATTGTATTCTCTTGATGTAAAAATCGACAAGGAGCGTCTAGCTGTCGTAAATACTACAAAAAATTTAGGGTTGGTTATTGATTATACTTTACGGTTTAAGGAGCATGTTTTGTCTATCTTAAAAAATGTTATGCAACTTTGAAGTGTTTTTATGTCAATCGCTCTATATTGAATTTTAAAGTTAGAAAAAGTTATGTGAGGCTATTATATTTCCAAGCTAATTTTACTGTAGCACTGTGTTCTATCATTTTCTTGATTCTATCACAAAAGCAAGACTCCAAAAACTCCAAAATACTTGCTGTCGATCTGTGTTTAATCTCAAGAAGTATGATCATGTTTCCTTAAAGAGATTTCAGCTTGGTTGGATGTGTATAGAAAATGCTTGCAAGTACCATATAGCAGTGTTTACATATAAGATCATATATCTTCTCGATCCCCCTTGTATCTTTATGAGAAATTTGTTGTCAGACGAAATAATTCAGACATTGATTTCAGACACAAAAAAAGACTAGAGATCCTATGTATAAAACAACTTTATTTCGTAGTTCATACACTTACAATGCTATCCTGATTTATAACGAATTAGATGACAATATAAAGGATTGGCCAGTAAACAGATTTCGTAAGCATGTGAAACAGATTTATTTGTCATTGTAGTAATTGTGGAAAAGTTAGTTTTTAATTCTTACATTTTATTTTATTTTTACGTAATATAAGTGTGTATATATGTATGTCCGGAAGCTATCAAGCTCGTTGTTTTGAAGCGTCTTTTGCTGCTTGTCAAAGTTTCCTTTGATTAAGTGTTTCAATTTATTATTTGGGTAGGTTAAGTAGAGTAGTCAAGAGCTAGACTTCGCCTACGTAGAGGTCACATTATGTTGTAGTTTATATAATGTGCCTAATAAAAACACTTTGTTATTATTATTATTATTATATAATCGCTACTCAATGTCCCATGTCTGTCAAAACATAAACTACGTCAAGCAGTCCTGGGATCATACCCTGTTACAGTATCCAAGGATTAGCAAACAGACATACGATAGATAAAAAAGGCTATTCCTCGCGGATATCACTGCATAACATATTTTCATCTTGAATTTGATTACAAAAGTTGTAAAAACTCGCCTGTGTAACGTTTCGCCATGGATCATTGACCAGATGAAGCGCAGTGAGCCAAACCTCTCAAATAACCTACATATCAATAATAGCGATGCTTGAATACCGTATTACTTTCAAAGGATTTTCCGAGTGGAAAACGCTATCCAATATTAGCCGGAAAGCCTCTGGCAGTAAATTTTCCATTACCCTCATTTCATTGCTCACACCGACGTCTGGCGAATAATTGATCAGTATGGGAAATATTGAGAAGTGGTGGAAGGAAACAATAAAGTTCAATCTAGACACCTGAGGGAGAAACCGTAACGTGGCGATGCGGTATTGTTTTAGTTTTTGGTGTATATGGAAGAAAATTTATAACCCGAAGTTTTATAGCCTGGCATGTGTGCGGTATTGTTTGCTTTTGCGGTAAATATCCTTAGATGATTAAATACGAGAGAGCGAGGACTACCTATGTGAGGTATGATTAAAATTTACAACTCCCATTTTTATGGAGTTTTACTTGCTATATATCAGAATGAAGGTTGCGGCAGACATCTATGAAGAACTAAAAATAAGGGAGGACATTAAAACTGCTTGCTGTATAGCTTTTAACGTAGCCACCTAAGGAGCAATCTGTTTGTGTGAGTGCCAAGGACTATTAGACAAAAAGAAGTTAATGTAAACACAACCCCTAATATCACTCTTGAACTTTTTTGAAAGAGCTTGTGGGTCTTTGGAGAAATATTGGAGCGGTATAACGTTTTCACAGGATAACTACGCGATACCGGAGACAGCTTACATGTAATTTGCCATCTTATTCTTTTTTTTTATTTCTGGTTCGAATTCCTTATGGGCTCATCATCACGCTTCTCGAATGGTTAATACATATTAATCCTAGATGTCTTAAAACATCACTAAACCCATAGCTCAAATGCATTTTATATCAAAGCTCCAAAATACGGGAAGACATTTAGACACGCCAATACGTTTAAAACCAAGGTTTTTGCGTAAGTGATACCTTAACCAAAGAATACCTGTTAAAAATGGCTTCTAGTAGGTTGACTTTGCGCTTCCCAAGCAACGCTGTCATCAGTTCATAAAGGATTATGTTCGGCCCAAGTTAGTCCGTTTGAGCAAGCCTCAAACATGTATAACAAAAAATTAGATGGCCCAAGTCAGCCAAACGAGTCCCCATCTATTTGATAAAGCTAACGCTAGTTTCTTTCCTACCCTAAGTACCGACCAACTGGCATCGCTGCTATCGCATCGCACGTTACTATAATATCCCTGAGGGCGATGCTGCCAGATGCATTCAGAGTTCAGATTATGACAGTTATAGGGGCAAATGTACGGTCGAATATTTACTGTGTAAAATATGTACTGATAAATGCGTAAAATTACTAGGTTGGAGGCGCATAAACATACTGCCGCAAACAAAATGAGATATACCACCCACTACAACCCCCAACTCCCGATTTTCAATTCCGACACATTTTTTTCCGAAAATAATGAGCTCTGAAGAGTCAGAAAAAGTAAAAGCCTTCATTTTTCTTTGTGATTTTGCTCTTAGTTCCGACGCCACTGGACCGATTTCCAAAAACTAGCTTTTTCGTCCTTGGCTGAGTAGTAACCTTGTTTGAAAATTGCATCCAAGTCCGAGCAGTACTTTTAATGTTATACCTAGGCAGTCCAAAGATTAGCGACCCGACCGACAGACAGACATACCGACGGAAATGAGTGACGTGGTTTTTCGTGATGTACATAGCATATATATTATTAGATTAGATTACAATACTTGTTACCTGCGAACTAGAATAGATCATGTTTGGGGTAGGCTGCCTATAGGCAACCCTAATTCAATATCTCTATCATCGAACTTAGATATAAACTGCATTTGATAGTATGTGTTTTTTTGGGATGTATAAGTATTGGGATATCTAAGCTACTATTCGTCATTTGTTTGTGTGGGCGGTCCGTAGCACCTTTGCCCATTTGTCACTGTGTAATGTACGTTAGTCAAATTCTCTAAAGTGATGTACATTCATGAAAGGACATGTTCACTTAGCATTATCGTAGTTTACACTATATCCACCACAGTATTAATACTGCAATGATATATCGATAATTAATTCCGATGATCCACCTGAATGGCCCATATTCTATCTGGTTAATCAGGTCTGTTTGAATATTGGTAAGTAATATTCCTCCATATTACTGCAACGCAAATTCATCAAGGTCTTCATTAAAATTTGATATGATCATGATATGCATAAAGATTCTTTTATCGATATTGTGCATTTAATATAGGTATACCCCATGTTGCATGCTACAATTATACTCGTATTTTTCCCAGACAGCAATGCTATTGCTTTTTAAATATTCTACAATGTGTTTCCAAACATGGGGGAAGAATTCAGGTGGTGATACTTTGAACTATTCCAATGCCATTTCTGTTCCTGTAGCATGGGCGCTCGTAGGAATATTTCTCAGGGAATGGGGATTAGACATCGCTGAGAAGCAACCTTTGGTGTACTATTAAAAGTCCTTAAAATTGCATACACAACCATGCAATATGCATATTTTCGGGGAAATTGGACGCTGATGCCCTGATAATTTTTGAAATACCGCTTTGTTCCGAAGATGCATGCCCCCACCAACAACACTGGAAATTGTTTTTGCTTTCCGCGCCTAAGTATTGTAATCGAGAAGAATTTCGAAAATGATATATGTTTTTTTGGGGGTTATATGACATGTCACTCACTTCATCTGACTGGCGGCCTGTCTGTCGTTCTATCTGTCGGTGTGTCTATCGATCTGTCTGTCCACTAATCCTTGGATTCGTCTATAACTGGACATGTACCGCTCAGATTTGGATGAAATTTTCACACAAGGTTACTACTATGCCTTGGTCGAAAAAGATTTTTAGTTTTTGAAAATTGGTCGAGTGGCGGCGGAGAGAAAAGAAGAAAACGAAAAACGTAAATCGCTCATACTTCGTTTTTCGATGTTTCAGATGCTCCTATTTATTTTCGTTTTTTTTTTGTAGGGTTTCTCTCAGTTTTTTTGACGCTGGTGTATTTATATGCCTCCAACTCTAGTAATTCTATGTATCTCTAAGACATATGTCACTCATCATAGATGTCTCCTTAAAACCTAGAAATATCTCCAAGAGTCATGGGATACATGCGACCTAGTGCGGCTGGTAGTCGTGCGTTGTAGGTCGTGGTCGGCAATCGCCTCCCTGCTGCTGTGGACTGTATGCCTTAAAAGTCAATACCGTCATCCACGTGGGATTAGTCATAGCAACGATCATGTGCGCCCGCAGAAATTTCTCTCAGGAGGAGGATGGTCATTTAATTTTTTGTTATACGTGTTATACCTTGAAATGCTCTTTAGATGCCCATCAGACCTCTGATTCGGACCTACTAACCAGAAAAACTTAAATGAGATGCGCCTGGGCTCAGCTGCTCGGTTTCTTTTAAAGATGTCATTGCAAATGGCCTCATAGAGACAAACTAACCCCATATTTGGAATCAGCGACCCAAAAAAACATGTTGTACTGAAAATCGTATTTTTGCCAGCCATTCGACATTCTTGAACACTATGCGTTCTGATGAAAAAGACCAATACCATATTGACTTTGAACTTTTATCACTCTGTAAAGTTCTAGTCCGGGCTGAAATTTCCAACCGCACCATATCCAGTATCACGTGAGTTACACAAAGAACCCGAGAGCAAGCACCATTTAAGTTGCCGCATCCAGTAAGAGGATGTTGTAAACATTTTTATGTAAGCTGTTCCTATTTGTTCTCATTTAGAGCTGGCTCACATACATTTTGTCGCTTTGCTGATGTTTTATTCTAAATACAGCCCTTTTACTACCATTGCGCAGCATTTTGCGGTATTAAAACAGCCGTTGTTATTATGGAAATGTACGTGGAAGCGTAAGTCCAGTGACATATATTTATAATGGATACAGGGTGGCTGTTCGAAAACACTGTTACTTTATAATAAACAAGTTGATGTCATATCAAGAATGACAAAAAATGGCGTCAAGTAGATTGACTCTATACTTCTAATACAATTTACCATTTAGTGCAATTGCATGAAAAATACGCAGGTTTGGTAAGATACAGTGCACTATTTGGGCTTTTAATGAAACAAGTTTCCTCAGATTGCAGCAACATGCGTCTCCGTACACGCCCGAACGGTCGTAATTATCATGATAACCTCAGAGTACCCCCAGAAATTAAGTGAATTTACTATTGGTAATATGACCAGTAGGCCATACACGTATGAAAAAAGTATCGCTATTTTAGTGCTCAGTAACTAAAAAAAAAACGTTTTTTGATGTTTCTACGTATCTAAATTCAAGTTCAAATTTTCCAAAATAAGACACCGTAGCTTAGTTTATTCTAAAGCATTCTTATTGAACTGTTAATACCGCGAAATGAGCCTTGCGCGCATCCCAATTTTTTGTAATTTGTTTGTAAGATTGTCTAAACAAATATGCTCCGAGTTACCGCCCTGTGACCTTTTCATTCATGTTAAGTCACACCCAACAAACATGACTATGAAAAAAATCCAATCGGAAAATTTCTCCAACGAATGCGATATTTTCGCCATATCTAACATCTGTCTTAGGTCAAATTCAATTTTTCAACCATTCTTGTAGTTTGCATTGACTGCACATACTTCCATATAGTCAGTTTTGCGCCCGTGATTTCCTTAACCGATGTAGCATAAAGCGATTGGCTGTTAATTAAGATTTACCGATAATTGTGTTATATTATGTAAACACTCTTGCTTTTGTATGTACACCAGATACCAGAATATGCGAACAATGAATAATTAGAACCGTTATTATAAGCGAATGTGAATCTAAATTATTCGATGCTTTGTAGTTGAAAGTACTTAACATTATTTCCTTCGTCTTAATTTCTACCAATCACAAACGCGCAATTCTGAATTACAAATGGTTTCTAGATGGAAAAATTGTATGACAACACTTGTCAGCAGTTTTTTCGAGTTTACCCGCAGCAGAACTTGACAGCTGTTGTCACTAAAAATTACAATACCTTTGATGACAAGTAATTATGGTCTCCTAGGGCACCAGAAAATGACGCTAAACAATTTTTCTGACTTTATTGTCAACAAATTTTGTAATATTGTCAGCGTATGCAGTGCAAATGAGTCGCTTTGGAAGTGATTCTTCTTTGACTAACATTGATCTGGCGATTGAGAAAAGTGTACCGCACAATACCGTTAAAACCCATACGTCAATATGGAAACAGTTGACGAAATTCTGCAAAGCAAAGAAATACGAGATTTTGAAAACTACTAGTTTAGAGCAACTTAACCTAATCCTGAAAGATTGGACGTGTGATATGAAGAAAGAAAACGGTGAAAATTACAAAGAAATAGTTGTGAAGACAATGTGAAATACTGTTGCAAAAAAATGCAAGAGATGTATTTTATGAAGTGGAATAATAATTTTTGATCCATTTAAAGATATTATCTTTAAGTCTAGTAGGAAAGCTCGTAATACGAATCGAAGGAATTTGCATTTACAAAAAAAATCCGTTATCATACCTCGATAACGTTCGGCGGTGACCGTAACGACTTTTTCTTCTTCATTAAAATGTGCCTCGCCTGAAAAGATGATTTTAGCCGAAAACCCCTTTCCTTTTTCTAGCATCCAATTAACAAAAATATGCCGTTGCTGATGGTCCGCTGGCTTCAATTGTTGAGTTAGTTGGATCTGGTATTGGTGTAGGTGGAGATCAACATGCAAAATCCTCCATAATGTTGTTGGAATGATGTCCAATTCTTGCGAACGGTGTCCTATCGAAGTTGATGGGCTGTTCATGCTCACCTTCACTTACAGCGGCCAGTGATTCACGTGTACGTACCGGACGGGATGTTGATATGTTCTACGACCTTCAACTGAGCCAGTTTCCTCAAAACGATTCATAATCCACCGAATTCCATGCTCTGTGGGACGATTATGTCGACCAAATTCATCACGAAGTTTGAAGATCATCCGTCTTCGTAATATTTTTAGAGGAGCAAAATGCGTTCTTGCGGTGTTAAAGAATCTATAATGACAAATGGCAGACCTTTAAAAGTTCATATGTGCTAAGCACATGGCAGTTGACACATTTAACATGTCCAAAAATGGTAGTTGAAAAAAGAAGCAATAGATGGAACACCCTTTATAATGCAATGGTTCCCGACCGGCGGATTATAAATGCATTCCACGAAGTGCGTTCTCTTCATATAACTACTCTTTGGTGAAGCTACAAAGCATGGGTTCTTCTATTCCTTGCAATCTGCCCACTCAACGCACCATACTTATAGTAATTTTGTGACAAAACATTTTAACTGTACGTAGATGTAGCAACCTAAATTTTAATGACCATCCATACAAATTTCTCTTTAATTATAATTCCCAACATAATCCTCTTTACGTGAATTACATGTTGACGTGTTGATGGAACAAAAGTTTTTGTCGGAATGTTTTCTAGCATACTTGTGTTTCAGCACGAATTTCTAGAAAAGATGATAAAATCATATACAGGGTGTTCCTTAATGATATGCGAATATTTAGGGGTGTGAATCTACAACATGAAAAATTAATTAATAAACTATGGTCCAAATATGTTTCCTTACAAAAACTCGGACTGTTGAAGTTTTAGGAATAGGTAGTCGAACCTTTTCAAATATTCATCGTCGTCTTGTTGAAATTGGTTCTGTCCGAAAAGGAACATCTGAAGGTAGACCTCTAAGTGTGAGAACACCTGAAATTGAGGAAGCAGTGCTGCACGAAATCGAAGAAGATCCTGAAACGAGTACGAGGAAGATTGCCATCAAATTGTTTGGATAATTTTAGTGGATTTTTGTTATATCCTTACCATATTTTCAGAGTACAAGCATTACTTCCCATCGATTTTCCGAGGCGTGTGACCTTTTGTCAGTGGTATCTTCAAAAAATTACACGAAATCCGCTTTTTGAATCAATAATTCTGTTCACGGACGAAGCTAATTTTTCTCGAAGTGCCATTTAGAATTTCCACAATAATCATTTGTGGGCAGAAGAAAATCCCTATGCCGTAACCAAAACCCATTTCCAACACCAATTTTCTGTTAACGTATGGGCAGGAATTATTGGCAACCACTTTATTGGCCCATTCTTCTTACCGGGACGACTTGGCGGACAGACATACCTCAATTTTCTTCAACAACAGTTGCCTTTGCTGCTTGATGATGTTCCGTTAGTAATAAGAAACAATATGAGGTACATGCATGATGGAGCACCAGCGCATTTCAGTGTAGCGGTTCATAACTATTTATAAACTGTCTGTCAAAATCGTTGGATGGGTCCCAAGAATGGCCACCAAGGTCCTCAGACCTCAACAGTTTAGGGTTACTTTTTGTGAGGCTATCTTAAGACACAAGTCCCATTAACACTGTAGAGGAATTAAGAGAAAGAATAGTTGCAGCTTGTGATAGAATAAAAAACACTCCAGGGATATTTCAACGAGTGCGCAATTCCATGAGAAGGAGGGCCATTTTCAACAATTTTTGTAATCATTTCGTTGGTTTTAATGTTATGTTTATGTTGTCAGTTGTTGTTGTTGTTGTTCATTACTCCTAATGTGTTTAATTTTTCCAATTAAATTAATAATAATCTTGCAAGTTATACAAAAGAACGGTTTTATTTGTTTACTCAAAAATGGCGCATCGAGGAAAAACAATTCAAGAGAGATCATTTGTTTTAAAATGAACGGGGAATTCAAAAAATTATTTATTTGGCAAAAAACCATTGGCGTACCATTTTTTTCTTAAAAAATATCGACGTCAATACCCGTACGCACACCACTGTTAAAGCTAAAAATTATTTTTGCATTGAAAAATATGCAACATTATTAACTTTCACTACGTACTAAATATCAGTGAAATATCTGAAGCGGTTCTGGAAATACTAATTAATTTCTATTTTTTTCCTAAAACTTCCACACCCCGAGCTTTTGTAAGGAAAGATTTTTGGACCATAGTTTATAAAGCAAGCTAATATTAATTTTTCATGTAGATTCACACCCTTAAATATTAAGGACAAGAATCTGGAAAACGCATGCTGAAGATGTTGATATATACAGTAGGTTACGATGGCTATTACACAACTGGAGCGTCAAAGGGACTATACATGGCAAGGTTGGACGTCTAGCCACCTGTAAGGTCGCCGTTATTCTCCGAGGTGGCAACGACGGGTGTCCTAAAGGCATAAAAGCATATTATATTTGAGCATATTCAAATGATAGTTATGCGCTTTTATATACATACATACATACATACATACTTGCTACTAGCGTGATAGAGAGGTCCAAAGAAACGAGGCGACACGCTCTTTGCTGCAATCTGAAGATTTTTTTTCATGAAAAGCCCACATAATGCATTTCTGGTACTGACAAAGCTTACGACTTATCGATGTCATTGTACTACATGGAAAATTTTATTAGAAATTTTTTCGAAGGCGTGGGAAGTATATAGTCAATCTTCTTGCTGCCATTTTTTACATTACCAGGGGTCGTGGAAAGCCATATTTGAAAATTAGAATTAACCTGAAAATATTAGAAATCGTTGCCACATGAATTAAGTGAGAACTTGAGGGACAGATTCATGACATGCACATGAATAAATGAATGAAAAGTTGATCACGTATGAAAATGCCGTGATAAACCATATTGTGAATTGAGAAAATCTGCTGCCTTGACCTCCAAACCCAATTGAGTGTCGTGTATATGGTAAGCAGTGATTTACAAGATTGCCTATGCAAAGCACCTGGAATACAAAATACAAAATATTCTTAAAATAAATATTTCATTCTTTCTTGGA